GCGTTTTTAGGTACGCTGCATTCGATTTACTAACCGCGTGCTTGCACGCTAGGTCTCTTTGTTTCATGTGGTGGGTTTTCAATTTTGCCTTAATGCTTTTCTTTCTCATATATATGTCTACCTGTACTCTATTGCATTAACTTGCACACCTCGCTTAAGCCAATTGCATTCGATTTCCATAGCATTTTTGTGTTTGTGGCATTTTCGTAAAGTGTATTTTCCCACTTCGTGAACTTATCTCGCATTCTTTGTAAACAACTTATTTCATATGCCCATTAACTTAAGGTTTATGTCACCATTTCCTTATGCATTAATCGAGTTATTTTCTTTGTATCTCTCCCCCTCTCTCAAGTGATTGGCTGTTGCTTGATATCCCCGGTGTGACTGCGTTTGATGTGCATGTTGACAAGGTGGCTACCTGTCTATTACCCACTATCTCCTTCATACTGACTCCAGGAGACAGTTGGTCGTTGCTGGAGGGGACGGGGTGCACGGTCCTTATGGTCGTGCTAGGCTCAAAGAGCGGCTCCATGCACTCAGTGTGGAGCGGACTACGGTCTAGCCACCATCTTATGTGCGCTTGATTCACCAAATACAGTGTGCTTGTGTTTGCCTGTGAAGGAGTGTGGGCCGGCACCGTTGATGAAACGTGGCTCCCATCCACATGCCTCCCGGTCTTATTCCTTCGGGTTTACACTGGATATGGGGTGTGTGGACGGAGCTGTGTGTGGTGCAGCGCATGTTACCATGGTCCCTCTGTAGGCGCAGACGTCCTGTGGCCTGCCAAAGTGACAGACAAATCCGAAATCGGATGCCGCCAACCATATATATCTTGGCTAGGCTAGGTCCGCCGTACCTCCGTTGACCGAGTTCCTCGGCGTGCATTACAGGTCGTAGCTAAAGCGTTGAGGGAAGCTGCGACGTGGCATTAAGGCGTGAAGAAAGTGACTGAGAGAATTGGCAAGGATGGTGCGTGCCGTTTTTGTGGGTGGAGCTCCAAGATGGTCTATGCCAGTGGTTGGGGACTCTACCAGACAAGGCGCAGTCAGTCGTACTGCTGCATTCGCTTTACTACATGCAGTCGTCAGTAGCCCACCGCGGTTTTATCTACCTATCTATTGAGTACCTTTGCATTCCGTTTGTGTGTTACCTTGTTTCCACACAACTGATATTTATTTTTATCACGGCGATGAGTCGTTGCAACTGAATCCAGTGCATTTCTGTGCACGCATCAAAGATGTTTAATTGAACTGAAGCAGTAAATTCCCACCAGTTAAGTACATATAATAATGTTGACCACAGATCTGCTTCGACCTTTTAGAACACTTATTGGATTTCAACACACTGGACAGTTCGCCCCAGTGAGTGAACACAGAGTAAGATTGTCACACTGGAATCCGACTTGGCAGTACTTGTACCTTGTGAGGAATATTAAATCACTGGAAAGAAGTGGCATCCATGTGACTTAGTGCAGTTAAACAGGCCAGAATAAATGCAGCAACTGGGGATAATGTGTCTGGGCGGAACTGTGATGCAACCAGACTGAGAGTAACCCGGATGTAAGTAATGAAAAGAAAGTTTGGTTATTTCTCTACACATAACAATAATCCGACATGATTATCATGAATAGATTTAGTGTGTAATGACAAAAAGGAGTGGCTACCAGTTAAGAAGTGAAAATGAGCTTTCCATGTGCCGCGACACTTGAAATAAGAAAAGTACGGGGGTAGGGTAGATGGTCAACGTAGTAACTCATGGTGGGCCATGACGCTGAGAAACAGAGTTTGAGCCTTAGGCAGAAAAAAGTTGAGAGCTTCCTCATGGTCGCAAGAATGATGTTTATGGTGAGCCATAGTTAGCGCACAGTGGACACTGCTGACACTTACATGTACATACGAGATTATCTTGCACTTGGAATGGGACAAATTTTTCACCAGAGCTGAGGTTGATCTAGTCATATTGATAATGTAACAAATGACAAATCAACTAGAAAGAACAAATCATCAGATGAAATAGTCAGGAGTTTGCAATGAGAGAACGAATGCAATACAGTCACTGTTCCCGTGACCGAGCTATATATGATCATATGTCCAACAATCGATGTGATCGATCCCGAGGTTACCATCCAGGAGGAGGACAAGGACGAACTTCACTCAATCTTGGGGTGAGTAACTTTATGCTCTGCCATTTCATTGATTGATCACCCTTGGGTATAATCTAACTGGGGTAAGTGATGGTGATTAATGCACACCGAGTATGGAGAGCCTATGACCTAGTCACCGAAGGCGATTCGAGCCCAACAGGCACTAAAGAGAGAGGCACCCACAGGGCTTGACACTTAAAATCACATGAAGAAATTCTGTAGTACTCTTACGCGAATATCGGTCCAGGGATGAGCAAGGATTCGCAGACAGCCGTGGTCAAAGCACTCAGTCTCTTAGCATCCTTTACGCGCAGCCACCAGATTATGATACATACGGTAGCACCGATGCGCTTGCATCCCATCCGCGTCTCCAAAAATGGCTGTTTTGAAAAGTCGCACGAGTTTTAGCAGTGTGTGCATGTGACTTTTCGGTGAAAGGGTACCTAGATAAGTAAACGGACCGAGAAAATTGGACGGAACGGGATGTGGGCTTGTAAGTGGCATGTGCCGACTAGTTTTTCCCATGCAGAAGCAACGATATATGTGGAAGGTTGAAATAAAGTGGAATGCGCACAGAATGCCATTGGAAAACCAGCCGAAAAATGAATGGACGATGATCGGTGTTATCAGAGAAGATCTGTAACTAAGCATAGTGGCTACTCGATTAGATGAACAGCATGAAATGATCCTCAGAAGGACAGAGCAATGAAGCCAACAGTAGTCTCTCTCATCGTCATGCAAAGAAACACCAAAATTATTTGAAGGATGTTTGTGAGTAACGTAAGTATCGTAGAAGGCAGAAGTCACGATTAAACTCCCCAGGAAAATCTGCCTCGACGGGGAAACGAACCCCGGTCCAGGAATTTCCGGTCCGTTGCTCTACCACTGAGCTACCGAGGGCTGACCATTAGGTGCGGAATTTAACACGTGACTTCTGCTTAGTGCGCGACGGAAATTCGTGGACCGGGGTTCGATTCCCCGTCGAGGCAGATTTTCGTGTGGAGTTTAATCGTGACTTCTGCCTTCTACGAAACACCAAAATGACAGGTGTGCATAGCATAGAGGTGTTCGTTCATAACATACACCATAAAACATTCTGCTCGCTCTTAGATGGCATTCAGCGAAGAAAAGCAAGGGTAAGATACGAACTAGTAGATTTTCGTCAGCTTGACACCAAGAGCATCTGGCCGGTCTAGTTCCGAGAGCAAAACTTGTCGTAGCCGCAAAACGTAAAATGGGTTGTGTACTGAGCCTAGCAATGTGTGGCCCACTAATGGTTTGGTCGGCCGGCCTGATTTCATTCTCGGCTAACTAGTTGACCTTGTAACTGCTGCAGAATCACCATACTCGGGGACAAGGCCAGCCTAACTCTAAGCAAAGTCGAATGACTAATTAATTACAACCGAATCACACTGAACTCTGGTTGGTTGCCTGGTCAAACAACCTCACGTGGTGACAACCGGGTGGTTCGGAATTACCCCGTTCCAGCAAATGGTTCAGCGGAACGGTCCCTGGACGTGATGAGTTTTCGCCTGAAAGTGTCCTCTCTTTAAAAAGCCACGTATATCTGTTCAACAACCCTGGACGTGGCAGATGTGACTCGACAGTAAATAAAGTGACTGCCCCTTACTGCACACCGGTGGAGCATTGTATCCCAACAACCTGCTGCCGACTTCAACGGGAGGATTGGGTCCCTGACTAGAAACCGACCAACAAATATGAGCTGAGTGATTTGTCTGCGGCACACAATGGATGCGATTGCCTGAATTTGCCCCGCTGCCTTGCAAAAGGGCTATTAAGTTAAAAGCTCAAGGGTGGTGTGCCCTAAACCAAATCATTACTTCGACTTGGGTGAACAGTTAGTACCGCGCCCTCTGAAAAAACCACAGACTGCTGTATTGTGTCCGGTTTTCCTTTTACGATAACCGTACCACCTAATGTCTTCCATGGCTGTATGTCTATTTGCAGCTTATATATATATATATATATATATATATATATATATATATATATATATATATATATGTATATATATATATATATATATATATATATTTATATGAGGATCCGACGCATTACACTGCTATTTCAGTCGGTTGGGATAGCTCTACGACGATCAAATATTTCCAGTGAGTGTGCGGAAATCCAGCCCCTCGCTTCCGCAGATTGAATGACTGAAAGATAGCATCACTTCATGCAGGCAACTCCAATGATTTTCGATGTCTTGAGGTGGAGTGCTAATAAATCCATGCGACAAGGAAGCTTGATAAGCTGATCGAATAGTGAGATCACCTATCCTGTTGGTGTCGAGCGTGTAGCGTTTTCGTTTTAAGGAACCGCCGAAGCGCATGCAAATGTCCACGTAGACCAAAGCGTGATCTGAATCAAAGTACGTAGATTAAATCGATCTACAATCCCGGACACGGCTTTACCATCTAAAGCTGATTGCAATGTGATCTGTTTTTGACCACACGTGCATTGATGAAGGGGGACGCCAGGTGGTTGCACGTCTTATGGGATGCCTAAAGTTCGTAATTGAGAGAAAGAGACGGTGTTCTTCGCATAGCGTAAGAAGTCTATCACTGTTGTCTAAACGACTCATCAAGCGCGTGACTGCCACCAAGATGACGTTCGCACAGAAGCCGACGACCTACTGGTGCGTTGAGATTTCCGGCAAAGACAATGATATCTGACTTTTCGGCCTTGTTCACAATGTTGCGGAGTCCACTATAAAAGTCATCTTTAACCGACTCACAGCTGCAGTCGGTTGGAGCGTAGGCAGAAATGACAAACAGATTGCGCCTCTGTTCGCGATGTATGTTGATTCTACATTAGCCTTGAAACCGAACCGCACACAGCCGCCTGTCGATCGGGAACTAGTCGAGTAATGCAGCCTCCGCTTTGTTACTCAGTACGATACCAACACTAGCTAAGCCGGCCGCTGCTGCCTCCATGTCATCAGACAGACGTAGGTAATATGTGGTTTCAAGAGTAGTCGGGGCAAATAACTTATCTACGGTGCTTGGACCCCGCAATCGAGTCTCGGAAAGGCAACAAACATCGATGGCGAGGGACTCTAGAGTGCGCGCCAGGCTAGCTGGTTGTCCAATCTGTAGAAGAGTCCGAACATTGAATGCTGCTAGGCGGAATGAAGAGCGGGGTCGAAGGATAGATGATGGCCGGACAATTTGGATATCTGCGAGACGTGCATTAGGAAGTAAATTCAGAAGGTTGTGGATTATCAACAAGTGAAAAGTTGGCGTGTGATTGGGAGGCATGAGTAATAGAGAAGCTGGCGGCAAAAGTCAGCGAGGCCGTAGTACTTGCGAAATCCATGGTTTTTACTGTGGGTACGATACTACCCGGTTACCCAGGCCGAAGTAGGGAATTGTCTACGCGTACTCCACCCCGGGGCTTTGCCTTAATGGTCTACCCTCAAGACAGCGGAGCGAAGTCAGGAATTCGCACCTATTGGGAGCCGATGACTGATTGTCCAGTTCATACGCCTTTCGTTTGGCGAGTACCCAAGCAGGGGCCCCATCCTCCCCACGAACTTCAACCATATTCTGCACCATCCGTCGCGCAGCTTAACAAGCGTCGCCTTGTCTGCTACATCCAGTAAGGCGGATAAGCGAAAACATGCTATTGCTAGCTCCTTTCTTTTCCGCCCGTTTTTCTCTCACAACCCACTTCACTATCTTTCCTCCTGTAGTTCCTAGTTTAATTGACAACAACTGCAATGTAACTGGAGTTATACCACCTGCAGCTATGTTCACGCACCTTCCACTGGACACTAATCACCAACAGCTCCTTATAAGGCCACCCTGTCCAGTTTCCCTGGTGACGTTCAACGTTCGCACTGTAAGACAAATCGGTCAACAGGCTGCACTTGCACGCACGTTAGGCACGCTGGGTATTGATGTGTGTTTCGTGTCCGAACCTACGATCAATGACGCTCACGGGGTTGCTTACTTAACTGCACCCGGTTTGTCCTCTCTCTTGGTTGTACGCATCCGGAGACGCTGATGCGGCATCCAATGATCAAACCGGAGTGGGCATTATCCTGTTACAAGGCCGAATTATCGTTGGTTGATTAGATTCCTGTGGGCAGTCGTTTGTGTGCAGTCCGTTTGACGGCATCGACTAAGGTTGATTCACGAAGTAGTACAAAACGCTGTTTGTTTATGATTTCCTCTTATGCTCCCCCCAACTGCAGTTCTGATGCTGCCAAGGACACATTCTATCACCAACTGAACGCGTTACTACGCAGTGCTACTAATTCAGATGTCATAGTATTTGCAGGAGATATGAACGCACAAGTAGGGCATCTGAGCTCTTCAGAAGCTCAGCTGGGTGGTAATTATGAGCTTGACTCCGAACGGACTGACAACGGCGCACGTCTGTTGCAACTGTATGCGGAGCACCATTTGTTTCTTAGTAGTACCAATTTTAGACAGTGTGCACCGAAGTCCCACTTGGCGTCCTCCTGTAGCTGGCCAGCGATGGACGCAAATTGATCACATTGTCATAACTTATAAGGGGCATGGTTCCGTCCTAGATTGCCGCTCGTACTGGAATACCTGCGTCGACTGTGATCATGCCTTGGTACGCTGTCGTTTATCCGTGACCTTTACCTGGAGGCGTACCAAAGACAACTAAGAACGTATCTCAGCTGTCGATCAGGCAAGCCTACCAGGATGCTCTGCGTACCGAACTTTCGCTCTCTTGTC